TGAGGGTGCAAGACGTGCTCAGGCGCCCAGTGATTGGAAACGCTTCCCGGAAATCCTGTCCGGGTCCCTGTAGCCCAGCGCTGGACGTTTGTTGGCCCCGTCAGTGGCTCAGAATGTCCTGGGACCGGGTGTCGGGAAGTCTCTGAGGTCAGGGGGAGGTCTCTGAGGTCATGGGGAGTGCTCTACGTGAGCTCAGGGAGGTGGGTTTGGGTTCTGTGACTGATGTTCTCCAGCTGGAGGTCTGTATGCTGGAGAGAGCAACGGTGGGGGGGGGGGGGCTTATGGCAACAGGTGTCGACCTGGAACACGCTGGTGCATTGGGAAGAGGAGGGAGGTGCAACTGCGGAGTGTGTGGCCTTCAGGGCGCATGGGATGTACATGTGGCTGGTGGGTGGGGGTGCAGGAGGGCCCCGGGAAGGGTGGAGAATGCCGGCCCCATACCTGCCCAATGGGATGTCATGGGGAGGAGACTCAGGAGTGTGAGTTTTGAAGACCCCATCCAGGGCTCTGCAAGTACATCCAGCCCCTGCGGTGCAAGGAAGGCGGGGTGGCCACAGTGCTGTCCAGGCCGGTCCACCCTCGCTGTCCTCACAGCTGCGGGGTCTGTCAGTGACTGAATGTGGGGCAGCGCTGACATCTCCAACCTTAATAGCGGATACAGCACATTCTCCTTGCTTTCCTGTCAGATTTTGCCCTTTGTATTCTGACTCTCTGTTATCGGGTGCGTACAAGTTAACGATGGTACCGTCTTGGGAGAACTGACTCCTTGCTCATTTCTGGCACTCTTTTTTTTTTTTTTTTATTGGTAATTTCTTGTTTTGAAGTCTCTGGTGGCAAACGGGGAACAATGGACTTTGTTGGGAAGAGGTGTCCATGGTGGTTTACGGGGCAGGAAGGGAGTATTTCCACCCCAGAAGCTTTGTCCTATACGCTTGTGGGGTGAGGAGGGAGGGCAGCATCTGCCTCTCCGTCCGTGTTTGTCTGGGTCTCTGTCATTCACCACATTTTGCCGTTAGCCTCCTTCTGGGCAATCGGCATCATTGTGTTATCGTGGGAACCTTAAAACCGCCTCCTGATCTGTCGTGGTTCCACCCGGGTGGACTTTGGCAAATGGACAGTCGGCTTACTCTGAAACCAGTAGTGACAAAGTAGATTCTGGGTCACACTCACACCCACACATGCTGAGGGGTCGATGCCCTGGGGCTGCAGTGGGGACCTCGGCCACCTCTACCTGTTTGCCGAGAAATTCCCCTGTCCCGAGTGTGCCCTGTGTCATCCCGAGGTACCGCTCTTGATACAAACTGCCCCTGGACTTACACCAGGAACGACCGGTGGGGACGGTTTTCCTCAGTCGCATCCCGAGGGAGGGATGGGGCAGGGATGTTCTCCAGACCTGAGGGCAGCGGGGTCTGCGTGGGACCCGTTCTGAAGACCGCAGCCAAAATTTCCTTAAAACATCTACACCAGGAAATGCACCGCTGGCGTTTTGGGGGAAATGTTCAGTAAAATGCATGTTTGGGGAAAGGTTTAAGAAGTGTGTAGGGAATCCCTGGGTGGCTCAGCGCTTTAGTGCCCGCCTTCGGCCCAGGGCGTGATCCTGGAGTCCCGGGATCGAGTCCCGCATCGAGCTCCCTGCATGCAGCCTGCTTCTCCCTCTGCCTGGGTCTCTGCCTCTCTCTCTCTCTCTCTCTGTGTCTTTCATGAATAGATAAATTAAAATCTTAAAAAAAAGAGTGTGCAGGGGTGTCTGGAAGAGGCCTGCCCCAGGATGAGGCATGGTTTCAGCCCTGCAGGTGCACCGGGGCCACCTGGGTCAGCCTGCAGTACACAGTGGCTGCCTTCTCCATCCTGCAGTGTAGACGCGTCCTCACAGCCCCCTTCATGCCCAGCTGAAGCACCCGTGCTCCTGTCCGCACCCCTCCAGGAGTCCGCCTCCGCTGCCCTCCCCGTCAGGCATGGGCCCCAGGCTCACATCACCCCCAGCACCCAGCAGAATGGCCGTGCCTGGCCACGTGTCTCTGTCATATGTGAATCCTGAATCCTGACCCCCAAGGCGGTGGTTATCAGCTGGTGGGCCTTGGGGAGGGGATTTGCTCATGAGGGCCTTGCCCCCACGAACAAGATTAGTGTCCTTATGCGGCCCCAGAGAGCCCCCCGGCCCCTCCCCTGTGTGAGGACCCGGAATGGGCAGCCATCTGTGAGCCAGGAAGCGGGTCCTCACCAGACCGTGAGTCTGCCAGCATCTCGACTCATGTCCACACCCCGAACCGTGAGGGATACACGGCTGTTGTTCCCAAGCCCCCAGCCTGTGGCATCGTGATTCCAGCTGCCCCAGCCGAGACTGCAGGTGACGAGATGCCACGTGACAGGACGGCAGGTGAAGGGACGCCAGGTAACGGGACTCCAGGGGATGGGATGCCAGGTGATGGGACTCCAGGTGATGGGATGCCAACACCAAGTAACGGGACTCCAGGTGATGGGATGCCAGGTGATGGGATGGCAGGTGACAACAGCAGGTGATGGGAAGTTGACACCAGGTGATGGGACAGCAGGTGACAACACGTAATGGGACAGCTAGCGATGGGATGTCAGGTTATGAATGACACAGTAGGCGACAGGACAGCAGGTGACAGGATGCCAGATGTCCAGGATGGGACAGCAAGTGATGGGATGCCAGTTGATGGAACAGCCGGTGACAACGCAGTAGGTAGGCCAGGTAATAGGATAGTAGGTGATGGGATGGCAGGTGATAGGACACCTGGGCAGGACAGCAGTGATGGCACGCCAGGTGATGGACAGTTAGTGATGACAGCAGATGACTGGACACCAGGTGACAGGACAGCAAGTGACCAGATCCCAGGTGATGGGACAGCAGATGACAGGATGCCAAGTGACAGGACAGCGGACGGCACAGCAGGTGACGGGATGCCAGATGGTAGGATGGCAGGTGACGGGACACCTGGGGTGGTTGAGTTGGTTGAGTGTCCAGCTTTTGATTTTGGCTCAGGTCGTGATCAGGGTCGTGAGATCGAGCCCCCGCTGGGCCCCACGCCAGCGGGGAGTCTGCTTGAGAGTCTCTCCCCCTGCCGTTTCCCCCACGCGTGCGCTCTCTCAAATAAATCTTTATTTTTTATTTATTTTTAAAAAATTTTTTTAAAAAGATTTTATCTATTTATTCATGGGAGACACAGAGAGAGAGAGAGAGAGGCAGAGACCCAGGCGGAGGGAGAAGCAGGCTCCACACAGGGAGCCCGACGTGGGACTCGATCCCGGGATCCCAGGATCGGGCCCTGGGCCGAAGTCAGCGCCAAACCGCTGGCCCACCCGGGCGCCCTCAAATCTTTAAACGAATAGAAACAAAATCTCTCAGCAGCTGGGCTTCCTGGGGGAGCAGGCACGGACCGTGCCTCCGGCCCTTCCGCAGCTCGCGCGGAACCGCCCCAGGAGGAGCACGTTTGCGGCCCCTCCCACGAGAAACCCACTAGCTGGGGCCGTTCCTGAGCAGCCGCCGTCCACGCGAATCCTTCTCTGCTTTCAGCCCGAGCCCTGGGGATGCCGCCGGTCAGGCTGGCGTCTAGCATGTGCTCGGCCGGCGGGACGCGAGCCCCGACCTTGGATTCTGGGGCACGTCCTGCAGAGCCTACCCGCCGGGAGGCGCGTCCTCCGTCCTCTGGTGCCGGAGTCAGCAGACGCGGGCCGGGCGGGGCAGGTGACCCCATCCCCTGGTGAGCCCCCTGCCGCGCCCGGGGGCCCGTCTCCGTGTGACCGCCCGCGGGCCTCTGTGCAAAGCGCTGTGCCAGCCCGCCTTGCGCTGTGCGTATGGCATGTTGCACGCCCAGCCACACCTGGGCTTTGTATGCGAACTCGAGCATCGGAGCGGGCACGAGACGAGGGTGGCACTCCTCCTCGTGTGGCCTGGACCTTCCCACCCAGGCGGCCGCCCCGTCCCCGCTGATGGGCACCCCGACCAGTCCTGCCCTGCCATGAGCTTGGCTCCGAGGGCACCCTGCGTGTCCAGGTGTCCGCATGGGGCCTCCGGCATGTAAATCTCTGCTCCGGAGATCTTGGCTTCTGCGGTGAAGATGTTCCCTGCACACAATCGCTTGCATGGATGCACAACAGCCGGGTGTGACTCCACGGAGCAGTGAGTGGGTGGCACAGGGCTCTTGTCAGCTGAGCTCAGCCCTGCCTACTGTGGGTTTAATGGTGGCCCCAGAACATATGGCCACGTCCTACCCCTGCAACCTCAGGACGGGAACCGGGTGTTTGCAGATGGGATGACGTAAGGGTCTGAGCTGAGCTCGTCCTGGACCAGGTGGCCCTATGTCCAACGACAGGGGTCCTCGCAAGAGCCAGAAGAGGAGCCGCAGATGCAGAGGAGGAGCCCCGTGAGGACGGAGGTGGAGACGGGAGGGACGCGGCCTCCAGCCGGGGGACGCCTGGGGCCCCAGACGCCAGAAGAGCCCCCGCCCTGGATCTCAGCAGCCCTGCCTGCCCGGATCTCAGACATCTGGTCTCCAGAGTCGAGATAGGCTAATAATCCCTTTGGTTTCGAACCAGTGGGTTTTGCGTCATTTGACGTAGCATCCCTAGAAGATTTACGGGAGCCCCTGGGCGCCCCATGTCCAGGGCTTACAGACTATTCGATGCCTGCAATGAGTAATCAATGCTGGTGATTAGCGAGCATATCGGTTCTGGACCCGTTTCCTTGATGATGGTGTGAGGGAGGGAGGTGAGAGATGCGGCTATTTAGGGCTGTGGGCACAGCAGGGACAGGACTCAGCACAGTGCCAGCGCGTACCCTGAAGCTTGGTCATCCCCGTAATAGGATTAATGGGATTTTCTAGACTGATCCGCCTTTGGCTCGTGCTGGGCCTCCAGCAAGGAGCTTCTGGCAGCAGCACCGCGCGGCCGACCGCCCCACGACTTGCTAGCAGACCCACACTCCGTGCAGCCGGGACGACCGGGGGCTCTGCGTGCCAGCCGGGCGTGAGACGAGGATGAGTTCCCCGGAGGAACAGGCGTTCCGTCTGCTGACCGAGTACTCAAATGGTTTCATGGTCTCCCAGGTAGGAACGTGGGGAGAACGTTCCGCCGGAGCAGACGTGGATCCCGTGGGCGGGAGCTGGGCGAGGGCAATGGGGAGTGACGGCTCCATGGGTAGGGAGTGTCCTTTAGGGGTGGGTGGGGTGTCCTGCAAGGACAGGCAGGTGCCTTCTGGGCCGTGGGACAATGCTTATTGAAAGAGATTGAAATATTCAAGACTTTTTGTGGCTTTTTGTATAATATGGGCGGTTGTCCATTAACACGCTACAAAGCGAGGTGATGTGTTTGAAATAGAGGCGAGCCTGGGGGCCCATGGGCAACGTGGCGCGCTTCCGTATCTCATCCCTTCCCGTGGCTGAGTCCATATGATCCTGCGTGCACGCGGGACACACACGGGCCGCACGGTGTGTGATGCCACTTCTACCAAACACGCGGGATAATGCAAATGCATGGACGTGGAAAGAAAAGTGGTGGTTCGCCAGGCCCCGGGGACGGAGATGGGCAGCGACTGGTCGTTAGGGCCAGGCTCCCCTTTTAGGGGGAGGATGAGAATGTTCTGGAACCAGATAGAGGCGGTGGTTGCACAACGCAATGTGCCCAACGCCCCCCGAGTTGTATTGTTTAAGACGCTTAATGCCGAACCTTCTTCTACGTGAATTTTTCGTCCTTAAAACCCTTGAGGAAAGCTGTAGTTAGATTTGGGGAGTCTATATTCGTGTATATTCCTTCATTTATGTCTTTAAAAAAATTGTTTTTTCAAGAAATTTTTTATTTAAATTCGAGTTAGTTAACATAGAGTGTATTACCGGTTTCGGAGGTAGAGGTCAGTGATTCATCGGTTGCACGCGACACCCGCGGCTCATCGCATCAGGAGTCCTGCTTCATGCACGTCACACACTTACCCCATCCCTCCACCCATCTCCCTTCCAGCGGCCCTATTTGTTTCCTGGAGTTGAGAATCTCTTATAGTTTGTCTCCCCGTCTGATTCTGTCTACTTTGATTTTTCCCCTCGTCTTCCCCTGTGTTCATCTGTTGTGTTTCTTAAATTCCACGTAGGAGTGAGCTTGTGTGATAATTGCTTTTCTCTGATTGACCTATTTCTCTTCGCGTCAGGCCCTCTAGTTCCACCCGGGACATTGCAAATGGGAAGATTCCATCCTTTCTGATGCCTGAGGAATATTCTGTTACCTACATAGACCACATCTTTTGCATCCATTCATCTGTTGATGGCCATTTTGGGCTCTTTGCACAGTCTGGCTATTGTGGACATGGCTGCTGTGAACGTTGGGGTGCGGGTGCCCCTTCCGTTCACGACATCTGTATCTTTGGGGTAAATACCCGATAGAACCACGGCTGGGTTGCAGGGTAGCTCTGTTTTCAACTTCTTGAGGAACCTCCGTATTGTTTTCTAGACTGGCTACACCAGCTTGCATTAGATTTTACATTTTATTTAATTATTTTTTTAATAGATTTTATTTATTTCACAAAGAGAGAGAGAGCACAAGCAGGGGGAGCAGCAGAGGGAGACGGAGAAGCAGAGTCTTTGCTGAGCGGGGAGCCCGATGTGCGACTCGATTCCACGACTCTGGGTTCATGACCTGAGCCGAAGGCAGATGCTCAAACCACCAGGCCACCCAGGCGCCCCAATAAAATCTAGGCGCTCCTGTGTATGTGCATGCGTGTGTGGACGCAGGCGGCAGGACAGCGCTCACAGCTGCTGCACGAGGGGACGGTGTCCCGCTCTCATGAGACGGTGCGATTCTCCCTGGCTTTTGGGGGTGACACTCGAATTTTGAGAACACTCAGCTTCACCATGTGGGGGCTGACCACCCGCCAGGCAGAGAGCTGCCCAACGGCGGCATTCGTTGTGGGGGAAGGTGCGGGATGGCAAGATTGGGGTGACGTGTGCAGCCAGTGGGGTCCGGACCCACCGGCACCGTGGCGCCCCGTGCATGCGGGTGGTATTTTGAGTGTCCTGCGGGGGCTATTGTGACACACAAAGGTGCCTTGGCCTCCCTCGCTCACCGACTCACAGGTGTTGTACTACTGCCGCCGTGTGCGCTTGACTCGTAATTGAAGCGGCTGCTGAGTTTGGGTGGAGGTCACTGAAATCCGCTGCAGAATGTGCTCCCCGCGTGAGCCCACGGATCCCCCAGATTGGGTCTGTAGGCCCCCTACGGTGGAACCCTTGCGATACGGAGAAAGAGCTTCCCTCCGCAAAATAGTTATAATAATTCTCAGCCTTCCTGTCGCTTGAAAGCATGAGCTGCTTGTGCTCGCGACATGCTTCCCGGGCAGCTGCGGCTGTTCGCCGTTGGCTCACCAAGCTGTCGGGTGCGTTATACATCCCGGCAGGACAGTCCGCTCAGGACACGGGGTGCTTTGTCACCTGGTTGTCATGCGTGTAAGAGAAGAGGATTGCACACAAACTTCACCGAATAAAGCGTAATACGACCTGGAGAGCGTGAAACTTGATACAACCGCGATAGAGTAATAGCTAATTTGACGTTGATAGAATAATACTTAATATGACGTTGAAAGAATAAAATTTAATATGACCTTGACAAAACTTAATATGACCTTGATAAGTTAAACGTTAATACAATCTTGATGGAATAATACTTAACACGAACTTGATAGAGTGGTACTTAATATGACGTTGTCAATAATGCTTCTTAATATGACGTTGATAGAAAAAACTTAAAATGACATTGACAGAATCAATCAAATGTAATATGACCTTGATAGATTACTTAATACAACCTCGATAGAATAAATCCTAGTACAATTTTTTTTGAACTTAATACAATTTTGATGGAATAATACTCACGACGACCTTGGTGGAATGACACTTAATACGATGTTGATCGAATACTTAATATGACCTTGGTACAGTAAAACGTTAGACGACCTTGATAGAATAATATGACCTTGGTAGAACAATACTTCATACGACCTTGACAGAATGAGTTAATAAAATCTTTTTGTTGTTGTTGTTTTAGACATTCCACTTAGTTTTTTGACAGAGAGAGGGAGAAAGAGCGAGAGCACAAGGCTGCCGATTCCTGCTGAGCAGGGAGCCCGACGCAGGACTCGATCCCAGGACCCCTGGGTCACCACCTGAGCCGAAGGCAGATGCTTCACCAGCTGAGCCCCCAGGTGCCCCTATAAGATCTAGTTGCAATAGGAGGACCCGCAGCTTGTCCAGGACCTAATGTGGCCCTAATAGGACTTTGCGTAGCTTCGCCTGCGTGAGAAATCATTTGCCGCGGATCCCACCGGAGTTCACACCATGTGGACACAATAATGCTTGCAACCGCCCTAGTAGAGCAGACAGATAACAGAACCGCAACAGGACGAGTTCCCGCCCCTCCCGGGTCACACAGGAACCGCAGGGGATGGGATCCGGTCCCCATAGGACCAGAGTTGGCGCGGGCGCACAGAGCGCACGGACACAGCCTCCCCCAGACGCCGTGGGGCAGCACAGAGTCCTGTCCAGGCCGCGTGGTGCACGAGACGGAGCGTCCTCATGGGCTCTCAGGTGCGAGCCTGGCCCCAGGGAGCACAGGGAAATGTGGGTGGACATATCTGGGCGTCACCGCAGGGTTGGTGGCCCTTGGCTGTGGTGGGTGGAGAGCAGACAGGCAGCTCCACACCCCGCGGTGCCCAGGATGCACCACCTCAGGGAGCCATGTGGCCCCTGAGCACGGGATAAGGGGTGATAGGACCCCGGTCCATGGGATGAGAGTTTCCAGGATTCCAGTCCATGGAATGAGCATCACGAGGACCCACATCTATGGAAGGAGAGTCACCAGGACCCCCGTCCATGGAATGCCAGTGACCAGGACCTCTGTCCATGGGATGGGAGTCACCAGGACACCCATCCATGGGATGAGAGGCACCAGGACCCCCGTCTATGGAATGACAGTGACCAGGACCCCCGTCCAGGGAATGAGAGTCACCAGGACCCCCGTCCATGGAATGACAGTGACCAGGACCCCCATCCATGGGATGAGAGGCACCAGGATGCCCTTCCAGGGGATGGGAGTCACCAGGACCCCCAACCACAGAACAACAGTGACCAGGACCCCCGTCCAGGGGATGAGAGTCACCAGGACCCCTGTCCATGGAATGAGAGTGACTAGGACCGTCGTCAGAGAATAAGAAGAGTTCAGGCAGTGTCACTGCGCACGGGCCCTGCCACCCCCACTCCTGCAGCCGCCGCGGGGAGCATATCTACGCCTTTCCCATCCGCTTGGTGAGAAAGCAAAGGCCAAGCTCCGTCACTAAGCAGGATGGAGGCGGGTCTTATTTTTATTTTATTTTATTCACGTCCACGCACCTACTGCAGCGGTGCTGTCTCCATGGGGAGTGGGTGCCCCATGACCCTCTGCGCAGGTGGGACGTGAGTGTGTGCATCCGTGCTGGCCAATACCAGAGAGGTCGCCCCATCCAAAACCCTGCTGTGCAGGAGGAAAAACAATGCACTCATTCATCCGTCCTTTATACCTTACGCGTCATTTCCGGGCAGGACCTGTCCAACTGCCTGGACGGATCCACGGCACTAGCAGGCCGCACGTTTTAAGAGTCTGGCACCACCGTGTAGGGAACCTCACTGGCCTCTGAGCAGCAGCGCATGTATTTCCCTGCTTGCAAGATTAAACCAAGGCCGGCCCGAGTCTGGGTCCCCAGGTAATCACTGCGAGCAGGGAAGGGGCAGAGACTAGGGTCTTGAAACCTCAGGAGGGTTTGCTGCTGGCTGTGTGTCCCTGTCCCTTGGCTGGTGTTGTCTTTGGGGACTGTAGGTTTCCCTCGGAGGCTGTTTCTTTGCTGGAATGGTCCCCCGGCTGTTTCTTTGTCCGAAGTGATGCTGTTCCAGGCATGACGGAGGGCGGGGAGGGGGTTTAGTGAAGAGCTTCAAAACACAGACAGGGCGGGGGGCAAGCTGCAGGAACCCACACCTGCTCAGGACCCCCTTTCCGCGATGGCCAGCCCGTGAATGGCCTTGTGGGACCCTCCCTGTACTCGGCAGATAATCCCAACCCCTACCCCACCCCACCTCACCCTGCCCCCAGCCCTAGCTCTGACTCTCCCTGGGGACCAACCCAACCAGTGGATGGCATCATTCCGGACGGCTGGTCAACCTCACAGCACATGCGGCAGCAGAAACAGGCGCTTCCCGAGTGCACAGTGGAAGCACATTTCATTTCATTTCACTCTATTTTATTTATTTATTTATTTATTTATTTATTTATTTATTTATTTATTTATATTTATTTTATGATAGTCACAGAGAGAGAGAGAGAGGCAGAGACATAAGCAGAGGGAGAAGCAGGCTCCATGCACCGGGAGCCCGACGTGGGATTCGATCCCGGGTCTCCAGGATCGCGCCCTGGGCCAAAGGCAGGCACCAAACCGCTGCGCCACCCAGGGATCCCTATTTATTTATTTTTAAAGATTTTATTTATTTATTCATGATAGAGAGGGAGAGAGAAAGAGATGCAGAGACACAGGCAGAGGGAGAAGCAGGCTCCATGCAGGGAGCCCGACACGGGACTCGATCCCGAGACTCCAGGATCACGCCCCAGGCCAAAGGCAGACGCTGAACCACCGAGCCACCCAGGGATCCCCCTATTTTATTTTTCATTTCTTTTACTTACTCTGTTCCACTCTGTTTAAGATATTTGAGTATTTATTTGACTTTTATCTAAGCATTTTGTTTAAAATTAGAAAATTTCATTTAAATTAAACATTTTAACTGGTTAAAGATTTAACTGGAAGATTTTATCTTTATTTTTATTTCCAGATTTTTAAAGATTATTTATTTTTTGGGAACACTTTGTTTTCTTTAATTTTTTATTTTTTAATTTATTTATGATAGTCACAGAGAGAGAGAGAGAGAGAGAGAGAGGCAGAGACAGAGGCAGAGGGAGAAGCAGGCTCCATGCACCGGGAGCCCGATGTGGGATTCGATCCCGGGTCTCCAGGATCGCGCCCTGGGCCAAAGGCAGGCGCCAAACCGCTGCACCACCCAGGGATCCCACTTTGTTTTCTTTAAATAGACGTAACATCAAATTGACTATCGTCACCGTTTTTGAGTGCACAGCTCAGCGGCATTGAGCGCATTCACGTTGTTGTGCAACCACCTGCACCGTCCATATCCAGAACTTCCTATTTTCCCCAATTTGAAGATTAGTCCCCATGAAACACGATCTCCCCATTCCCCAACCCGCAGCCTTTGGCACCACCGTCTACTCCCTGTCTCTATGGACGGGACTCTTCTAGCGACCCCATATATGCGGAATCACACATCCGTGTCTGATTTATGTCACTGATCGCCACGTCCTCAAGGTGCACCCACTCCGCTGTGTGCACGGACCATATTTTCCTCATCCATTCGTCCGTTGTTGGACGCCTGGTTCTTCCATGTTTGGCCACTGTGGATAATGCATCAGCGAACACGAGTGTACAAGTATCTCTTCCAGGGTCCACTTTCAATACTTTTGGGTCCACACCCAGAATTGGAATTTCTGGTTTTGTGGCCATTGTATGTTCGGTTTTGTAAGGAACCGCCACAGTGTTTTCCACGGCAGTGCAGTGTCCCCTGAAAACGCACCCCTGAGTCCCCGTGGTGTGTGCTTCTGCAAGTGGGGCTCCCAGGACGCTCAAAGCTGGCCCGTTATTTCCGAGGTTCTGTTTGCTGCCTGCGAGCTCGGCGTGTTTGACCTTCTCGCCGAGGCCCCGGAGCCCCTGGGGGCGGCAGCAGTGGCTGCACGGCTGGGCACCAGCTCCCATGGGACAGAGCTCCTGCTGGACACCTGTGTGTCTCTGAAGCTACTTCAGGTAGAAACTAAAACAGGAAAAGGTAAGCACGTAGACATGTAAATGAACGGGTGTGGCTGGCTTTCAATAAAACTTTATTTTTTTTTAAATCTTTTTTTTTAATTTATTTATGATAGTCACAGAGAGAGACAGAGAGAGAGGCAGAGACACAGGCAGAGGGAGAAGCAGGCTCCATGCCCCGGGAGCCTGACGTGGGATTCGATCCCGGGTCTCCAGGATCGCGCCCTGGGCCAAAGGCAGGCGCCAAACCGCTGCGCCACCCAGGGATCCCTCAATAAAACTTTATTTACAAAGACACGCGGTGGGCCGGGTGTGGTCCCCAGGCTGTACTTTGCCGACCTCATTCTAGGGTCTCCACACGCTGGTGTGCGCATCCGTACCCTCATGAAGTATCCAATGAGCAAGAAAAAATGGGGGAAAGAATCATAAGGGAGTAATTTTCAATCAGACTAAATTTATCCAGTTAAAGGGTTGCCCTCCCTTGTGCTATTATATTCTCATCTTGGTGTTGAAATGGGTCTGGGGCTGCCCATCATCTGCAGACTTTTGTTGAAAATGGTGAGTTGGAACCTAACGTGTCCTTTTGCATTTGTTTTCAGCTTTATATCAAAACACAGAGCTCTCCAGCACCTACCTGGTGAGGGCCAGCCCCAAGTGCCAGGGCAACATGCTGCGGTACCTGGCCAGGACGACGTACCTGTGCTGGGGTCACCTGACCCAGGCCGTGAGGTGGGCACAGCCTCAAAGGGGTGGATGGGACCCCCAGGCTCCCTGGGGGCTGGTTTCAGGGCAACTGTGCAGTTGAAGCACCAAGTTTCTTGTAGCATCAAACACGACCCCGCTAGATGTGGAACTCAGAGCACATGTAAGAAGCCCCCTGGTGCTGGCCGATGGGATTCACGTCATGGCAATCTGCCAAAATAAGAAGTCCTGGTGTTTCACTGGTGTCCGGGGAAAGGGCCACAGGCTGAGGAGGCAAAGTGGGGAATCGTGATGGTTGTCCTCCCCATAGCTGCTCTGGGGCCCCGTGATGTGGGCGCCTGGGGCGTCCTGGGCACTGCAGGGTGTGGAGCAGCATCTCTGGTCTCCTCCCACCATAGGCCATGGCACCGTCCCCAGCTGTGATAGTAAAAAAAGGTCCCCAGACATTGACAAGTGCCTCTTGAGGGCAGAATCCCAGAACCTGGGAACCACTGACATAGATGGATGGATACCTAGATGGTCAGGTAGGTAAATACATAGGTAGATAGAGGGATGCGTGGACGATAGTATAGGGATGGCTCAGTGGGTGGAAGGATGATGGATGGTTGGATGGATGGTTGGATGGATGGTTGGAAGGATGGTTGGATGGATGGATGGATGGATGATGGATGGATGGATGGTTGGATGGATGGTTGGATGGATGGATGGACAGATACGTGGATGGATGGATGGATAGATTGGCAGGTGATAGATATAGGGATAGATGGATGATAATATAGGGATGGCTCAATGGGTGGATGGATGGATGGACAAATGGATGGATGGATGAATGAGTGGATGGATGGTTAGATAAATAGATGGATGGATGGACAGATAGGTGGATGATTGGTAGGTGATAGATATAAGGATGGAAGGATGATAGTAAGGATGGCTTGATGGGTGGATGGATAGATGGATGGACAAAGGATGAGTGGATGGATGTTGGATGGATGGATGGATGGACAGATAGGTGGATAGACAGATGGATGGATGATTGGTAGGTGATAGATACAGGAATGGATGGATGATAATATAGGGATGGCCAGATGGGTGAATGAATGGATGGGTGGGTAGATGGATGGATGGTTGGATGGACAGACAGGTGGATGGATGGATGGATAATTTAAAGATAGATATAGGGATGGATGGATGATTGATAGACGATAGATGCACAGGTACATAGGCAGGGGGCTGGGTGGCTAGATGTGCTAGATGGGTGCATGGGTAGAGAGATGGATAGAGGAGAGACAAGGACGGGTGGGTGGGTGATAGGAGGGTGGGTAGGTAGCTCGATCAGAGCCAGTACTACTGGGTGTTAGTACCCAGTGCCTGGTGCATACTAAGGCCTGCGGAGAGCTACTCGTAGGTGTTAGGAGACATACATAAAGAGGAGGCGTCGGCAGATACAGCTAGATGATAGGTACTGACAGGTATCGGTAGGAGCTCGGCAGGGCCCCTCCTGCTCCCAGGTTCCGGCTCCAGGTCCTCCGGGCCTCAGTGTCCGCTGGCCGCACATCACCTCCAGACCTCGTCAGACCGTCTTCAGGTCATCCTCCTTCCTTGCTCACACGGGGCGGAGCCCGGCTGCACGTCCAGCCTGCGGCTCTGAACACCTCCAAGGGGGGCCGTGCGTGCGTTTGGTGACCGAGTCCCGTCCCCTGCCCGTTCTGTCTGTGACGGGAGGTGAGGCTGTGCGACCCCGCGCGCCCGCTGGCGCTCCCTGGCCGCGTCAGATCCGGGGTGACCGCGTGGCGCCCGTTTGCAGGGACGGCAGGAACCAGTATCTGGAGGCATTCGGGGTTCCCTCCGACCAGCTCTTCAGCGCAATCTATAGGTAACGCGGGTGTCCGCGCTTGCGATGGACGCGGGGGGCGGGGGGCGCGGCTAAGGAAATGGGTCTAAACGGAGCAAAACAGAGGGAAGGTGATATTTAAGATGGTGAAGAAGAAAAACCCCACAGCCAGCATGTTGGAGCCACATGCCAGGTGTCCCGGCGGGGTGGGCTTCGGGGTCCCGGGGTGGCGGAGCTGGGGCTCCCCACATCCCGAAGCAGGTCACCGTGCAGGCCTTCCCCGCCGTGCCCGTGCCCGCGGCTCACAACCCCCCCACCCCCCGCGTCGTGGGGCGCGGTGAGCACCTGTGCTGTCGCGTGCAGGTCCGAGGACGAGCGGCTGCTGTTCATGCGAGGCCTGCAGGACGTCTGGAGCGTCAGCGGGAGGCCTGTGCTGGGCGCCTTCGACCTGTCCCCGTTCCCGCTCATCTGTGACGTCGGGGGTGAGCCACTGCCCCGCACCCCGGAGCGGGGTCTCAGGGCCGGTGACCTCGGCGCCCCGGGGGGCGAGGGACAGAACACGACGGAAAGGCCCCCACTTAGCATCAGGGGCCAAGCATCCCCTCCGCGTGCCACGGGGCACAGGGTCTGCAGCCCCTCTGCGGCCGCGGTGCGCCCGGGGCGGTTCGGAGCCTGTGCATGGGGCGGGATGGAGAATCAGTGCTCCCACGGATGCCGAGGCCGCTGCCGGTGTAGACGCTGGCATCACTCAGTGTGACGCGCTCTTGCCCTGACCGCCCCATACAGCACGACGCCCGTTAGGCTGCGATTCAGGGGCTTGCCCGGGCGCGCGTTCTGGTCGGGACCCTCCTGACCTGGGTGTGGCCCCCACAACGGGCTTGCAGGTCTGGACGGAGCCTCCCCGGTGCGGACGTGCTGTGAGTCGCATCCAAGGGGCCCACAGGCCTGGGTGTGCAGCTCCGAGGGGCTCACACCCTTGGTTGACACCTGGGCGGCCTCCCGCAGCGTCACCGGGCAGCAGGGCGCCACGATGGGGAGACTCCGCGTGCTTGACGCCAAAGGGACCGCCGTGCCTGGCCTGGCGCGCCGTGTGACTTCGCGCGGTTTCTGTGGTCCCCGCGCCGCCCAATCCTTGGGTCAGGGGCAGTCCCTGTGGTGCCCCAGTGTGTGTCCGTGTGGGCGTCACGCAGGACGCGCTCATGGCTAGATGGGTGGGTGGGCCCAGCCGGGAAGATTCGCCGATTCGGGGGCTCCTGGGTGACCATGTGGCCGTCAACACCTGCTGGGGCGCTCGCCGCTCGCATTTCCCGTCCGCCTGTCACCTTCCGTGTGCGTTTGTTTCCAGGCTGTTCTGGGGCTCTGGCCAAGGAGTGCACGTCTCTGTACCCCGCGTGCCGGGTCGCCGTTTTCGACACGCCCGAAGTGGTGCAGACGGCAGAGAAGCACTTCTCATTCCCGGAGGCAGCGCGGATCAGCTTCTGTGAAGGTGGGCTCCGCCGAGCTCTGCGCGTGTGCTCCCCCCGGGGGAGAGCTCATGGAGAGCGCCCGACCCCGGTACCCCAGACCTGGCTTCTGGGGGTCGTCATCGGGCGTCTTGCAGGGGACGGTCACACCTATTTATGTGCTTCATGCAGAGGTGGAAGGAATAAACCGACCTCAGAGGTTGGGGGGGGGGCAGGGGACACAGTAGGTCACTTTGCCATGGCACAGCTGAGCTGGGATTTTGGTGACTTTGCGGTGGGTCATGAAGGGAAGGCCGGGGGAAGGTGCAGCTGCGGGCGCCCCGACGGCTGGATCCTCTCCTTCACCTGCTGCGCACAAACACACGGCCCACCGAGTGCGGCCCCCGGGCCGAATTTGCCGACCCCTGTGTTTGGTCACTGAACGGAAGAGAAGCAGTCTGGAGGCCCCCCCGCTGCCCCGTTGCCCCGCCCTGGGTCGTGGGGCGATGTCTGTAGGGTCCGCATTTCCCGGGGGCCTCAGCACGGGGCAGGGTGGTGCCCTGGCCCGGATGGCCTCCCACACAGGCTCCTCCCCAACTCTGAGTTTGCAGAGTTTGGACAACATACGGCTGCCGGGTCCACCCTGTGTGAGGCTGGGCCACGCTTTTTCCAAAATCGGTACTTCCTGCAGGAAAAATGTTACAAGTGTCGAGCCTGACGCCACGTCCGCATGGAGGCTCTTCCTTGGCCATGTTGGTTGGTTTGTTTCCCAGCCCGGAAAACACGTCTTGACTGTTGGTTTAGTTCAGCTCCTCACACGGGAGCTGCTGACCGATGGCCCGGGGTGTCCGGAAATCCTCGGCGTACACGGCCCTTTATTTGCAACCTCAGGAAAGGAGACGAAAATAAACTAAGATAAAAGTAAAACCATTTTCCAGATCGAGAAGGATGGAAGAGCCCCCGGACACCGTTCAGAAGCTTCTTGTCCTCCTTGAGGCTTCCCTTTGTTCAGGGCCAGGTCTTCAAGTCACAGCTGGGGTGGCCTGGGGCAGCTCGACACACCTGGGTGACTGTTGCACGCGGGACTGAGCTGCGCGCTGACCCCAGGGCCCCGGCCTGTGTTATAGGAGATTTCTTTAAAGACCCGCTTCCGGAGGCGGATCTGTACCTCCTGGCGAGGGTCCTGCACGACTGGACGGATGAGCGGTGCTCACGCCTGCTGGCGAGGATCCATCGTGCCTGCAAACCAGGTAGGTCGGGGCGCTGCGTGTCCACACGCGCTTGTGAGTGCCTTCAGCGCGGGATGGTGCTAGAGGCTCATGTGCACGCCGGAATGCGGGTCACGGGCAAGTGTGCCCCTGCTCCCAGCTGGCTTCCCTTCTGGGTCAGTAACGGAAACCAAGCGGCATTCGCCCCCGTGCTGTATCGAATCCGAGTTAAAGGTGCAGAAAGCTGAAGGCTCCCGCGGTGCACGCCCCGCCTGCTCCAACCCGCAGCTGGCCGGGGCCGGGGCCGGGGTCGGGGTCGGGGTGCGGGTCATGCTTGGGCCCATTCCGCAGCTGGGGCCGGGCCGGGGCCGGGGCCGGGCCAGGGGCCGGGAGGTGGAGCGGGGCTCCTGGGGCGGCCTCCCCACGCTCCCGGGCGCCTGTCCCTCCCGTCCCAGGCGGCGGCGTCCTGGTCGTTGAGAGCCTCCTGGCCGCGGACGGCCGGGGCCCGCTGACGGCGCAGCTCTACTCGCTGAACATGCTGGTGCAGACGGAGGGCCGCGAGCGGACCCCCGCCCAGTACCGCGCGCTCCTGGCTGCCGCCGGCTTCCGCCACGTCCAGTGCAGGAGAACCGGGGGCCTGTACGACGCCATCCTGGCCACGCGCTAGTCCCCACGGCTCCGCGGCTGCGCCCCGGCGGGCACCCTCGCCAGCACACGGGGCTCTCCGTAGCGTCCGCGTTCCGGGGCGTCGGCGAGGGAGTGGGGGTTCTGCTAACTGTCGTCCTCTGCCCTTCGCTCTGGGGTTTGTCTTGTTCTGTTGTGCTCCATGTTCTACGCTGTTCTGTTCCTCTCTGTCCTCTGCTGTTCCAGTCTATTCTGCTCTATTCTGCTCTACTCTATTCTATTCTGTTCTATTTGGCTCAATTCTTCTCTATTCTATTCTATTCTATTCTTTATATTCTATTCCATTCTATTCTAGTCTAGTCTATTTTGTTTTATTCTATTTGGTTCAATTCTTCTCTATTTTATTCTGTTTTATTCTACTCTATTCTGTTCGATTCTATTCTTTTCTATTCTATTCTATTCTATTCAGTTCAGTTCGATTCTACTCTATTCTGTTCTGTTTTATTCTCTATTCTGTTTGATTCTATTCTGTTCTATTTGACCCTATTCTGTCCTAATCTACTCAATTCTATTCTGTTTGATTCTATTCTTTATTCTATTCTATTCTATTCTATTCTATTCTATTCTATTCTGCTCAATTATTCTCTATTCTATTCTGTTTTATTCTACTCTATTCTATTCTGTTTGATTCTATTCTTTCTATTCTATTCTATTCTGTTCAGTTCAGTTCGATTCTTCTCTATTCTGTTCAATTCTATTTGGTTCAATTCTACTCTATTCTGTTCGATTCTATTGTGTTCTAGTCTGTCATATTCTACTCTGTTCTGTTCTATTCTACTCTATTCTTTTCTGTTTCATTCTATTCTTTCTATTCCATTCCATTCCATTCCATTCATTCTATTCTATTCTATTCTATTCTATTTGGCTCAATTCTTCTCTATTCTATCCTGTTTTATTCTACTCTATTCTGTTTGATTCTATTCTTTCTATTCTATCCTATTCTAGGATATTCCTATAGAATATTATCTATATAATATCCTATATATATCCTAATATCCTATTCCTATAGAATCTTTCTATTCTATTCTATTCTATTCTATTCTATTCTATTCTATTCTATTCAGTTCAGTTCTTCTCTATTCTGTTCAATTCTATTTGGTTCAATTCTACTGTATTCTGTTTGATTCTATTCTGTTCAATTCTATTGTGTTCTAGCCTGTCTTATTCTACTCTGTTCTGTTCTATTCTGCTCTATTGTATTCTGTTCAATTCTGTTCATTCTATTCTATTCCATTCTATTCTATTTGGTTTGATTCTTCTCTATTCTATTTAATTCTATTGTTTGATTCTTCTCTATTCTGTTCTATTCTATTTGGTTCAATTGTACTCTATTCTGTTCTGTTTTATTCTCTATTCTGTTTGGTTCTATTCTATTCTATTCTGTACTATACTATCATAGTCTACTCTATTCTGTTCTATTCAACCCTATTCTGTTCCATTCTACTTTATTCTATTCTGTTCGATTATATTTTTTTCAATCCTTTTTTTCTTTTCTTTTCTTTTCTTTTCTTTTCTTCTCTTCTCTTCTCTTTTCTTTTCTTCTTTTCTCTCCTATTCTGTTCTACCTTACTCTATGCTGCTCTTGTCTCTTCTCTTTCATTCCACTCCATTCTATTTTAGTTCGATCAATCTTATTCTATTCCATTCTCCCAGTTTCCTGCAGCGTGACTGACAAAATTATACACGTTGAAACCGTACAACCTGACAATTTGATGTACACACATACTGTGAGCTGACGACCACTGTCGACCTAATTCATACACCCCACACCTCACGTGGTAACTTTTTTTTGCTGTTGTTGTTGAGAACATCTCAGATCTGCTGTCTTAGCAATGTTCAAGGGTATGATAATTATAGTTAGTTATATACAGATAGTTAATTACAATCACTACGCTGAACATCAGGTCCCCGGGACTCATTGCAGTTCTCACTGGAAGTTTGTGCTCTGGGACCACCATGTCCCTGTTTCTTCCCCAACCCCTGGCAGCCACCCTTCTTTTCTCTGCTTCTATGTGTTCCACTTTTGTAGATTTTGTCTTTGTCTTAGACGTGGCAGGTGCATGTCCCAGGCTGCTTTTGGGGCAGCACTGCCCAGTGTGGACACTGGAACTCTGCACCTTTTGCCCCCTTCACCCATTTCACCCACCCCACCTCCCATGTCTGCAAACTATGACTCTGTTCTCTTCATTGATGAACTTGGTTCTTGCTTTCTTTTAGATTCCACATAGTAGTGAGATCATGTATTTGTCTTTCTCTGTATCTCACTTAGCACAATAATGGCAATTTATTAAATTTTTTTTGGCTTGGCAAAATAGATATAGCATGGGATTTGCCATTTTGACCCTTTTTAGGTGCACAGCGCAGTGACAATGAATGCATTTATATTCCCACCATCCATGTGCAGAACTTTCTCATCTTTAAACTAAAGCTCTGTCCTCATTAAACACTAACTCTGTATCCCTTCCCTGAGACCCTGACCCCCGCCATCTTATGTTCTGTGTCTATGAATTCGCCTGTTCCAGATTAAATTGCAGTAGTTTAATAATGGGTGTCTATCTACGTGTGTGTGTGTTTCTCCTCAATTTGTAACGTATTGAGCCCCAGGTATAGGATTTCCAGCCCTGAACCTAGGTGTCGAGTGTCTCAGACAAGCTAATTCCCAGCCCACAACCTGCCAACTCCTATGGGATTTAGGGAAACAAGACTGGCAATCCATGACTTCAAGGTGGCCCATTAAAGTGTTCCATGCAGGGAGTCTGGCCAAAATCATTCCCGGGTTCAGCCAAGCCTGGGGAGGTGAGCCGTGGGCACCCTGGCCTCAGGACCCCTGATCTCAGCATCTGTGGTCACTGAACACCCACACACTTGTCTCTGAGACCTGACCACAGCACCTGCTGGTGCGGATCGTTCTTTTAAACCCCCACAGGCCTGCAGGGGAACCTGTAGATAACCCTGAAAGTGTGGGGGGGTGTGTGGGAGCTGGAAGGGCACCGCGTTGGTGATTTCTATTCCCAGGATTTGTACTCAAGAGTACCCTGATCTTGGGCAGGACACCTGCCTTCTTGGGCCTCCAGCCTTCACATTTAAGAGTGGGGTGGATAAGCTATAAAGCCCTGTGTATCTTGGACCTTCGGTGAGTCTGAATGCATTGAAACCAGTGGTTCTCAGCGGGGGTGATTTTGTCTCCCGGGGGACACTTGGGAATGTCTGCATCATCTTGGCCTGTCACACCGAGGAGGAGGTCTTACTGGAATGTGGTCCCCTACCAGGGACGCTGCAGGACGTGACGCCCCAGAGAGTGCTCCAGCCCCAGACGTCCACAGCACTGAGGCCGAGAGGTGCCGGGTTCGAATGTGGCCACGTTGGAGCTTCACCAACACTCATGGCCATAATGACAAGGCCGGCTTTTAGGGATGTGTAGAAGTCTGCCTGACCTTGACGTGCTGAGGGCTTGGGTCAGGCCAATCCCGCAGCAGGAGAGTTGGAGGCCTGGCCCAGAGAGGGTCTGCTTCTCCTCCTGGGGACATGGGGACGAGCAGGTGCTGGAAGGACCTTCTTCAGATGGTGCCAACCAGCTCTTGGTTGCAGAGCGTGTGCTCCCCGCTGTTGGTCCAGCCTCCGTGGGGCCAGGTGGACTCACCAGGAGTGACCCGCCAGAGCTCTAGGAAGCACCTGCTCTGGTTCCTTCCCCCATTGCTTTTCAGGACAGCCTGCAGGGGAGGAGGTTGTGTGTCCTCTTCCTTTTGCCACGGCGGCCACGGTGACCCGCGTGGACCGTTTGGGACGAAGATGTCCGTCTGCCAGCAGGTGGTGCCATGGGGCAGCTGATAGAACGGGCTCCACCATCCAGCAAAGGCACCAAATCCTGGCGGCAGCGGGGTGACCCCCGGACAGAGGAGCAGCCTTTACTCCTTTAAACGTCAGGTGCCATGAAAACAAGTACAACGCACCCAAAAGTACCTCCTCATCATTTTCCGCTGGAAAAGACAAATGCAAATTAATACGAATAATAACACACACACACACGTTAATCCTACACCTTGAGAGCAGGAGGCGTCTTGCTCTCTGTTGTAAATAAGGGACGAGGACTCTCTCCCGCCTTCCCTTTCTCAGGGCATTTGCTTCTAGAGAGTTCTTTCTCCGTCTTCTGCACATGTACAAATATTCAAGCAGCCTGCGGCTGGTCTCACGGGAGCATCTCCGGAATGCAGCCGAGGAAGAGATAAAGCAGCTTTCTCCCAGTTTCTTGGGGCTTGGGGTGCGGGGTGCGGGTGGAGATGAGCCACGCTGGCGGCCGCCTTGCTCATTTTCCCACTGGAGCTTGCGAGGGCAGTGCAGAAGCACGAGGAGATTGCATCAGTTAATTTACGTGAATCAGCTGGATGCCGCGTTCCATGAGGTTTTTGCGAAGCATCTCCTGAGGACGCCGGGCCGGGACACGTGCGTACCCGAGGCGGGAAGGTTGCTTCCTGCCTCCCTCCCTACTGCAGACGTGGCTCAGAGCTCAGAGCCCAAGCGTTTCCACCGCTGTGGGTTTCCTGCGCTCTGCGCATGCTCTGCGCTCAGCTTCCCTGCTCGTTGCCCGGCGGAGCTGACATTTGGACAGGATGAGCCCCGCTGGGCCGGATCCGGGCGGGAGTGACACCAGACCGAAGGGTTCCCATCACGCTTCTCGTTGAATATATGTGTTTCCGAGCAGCATCCTTGATGCAGGGATGTGGGGAGCTGCAGAGCACAAAACAGGTACAGCCAACGCCACATCCGGGCAGGGCCTGGCCAGCCTCACCGAAGCCCCTTAACCCCTTCTTCCTTCCTTCCTTCCTTCCTTCCTTCCTTCCTTCCTTCCTTCCTTCCTTCCTTCCTTCCCGTGCAAACTCTGTGCCCCGCGGGTTTGTGGAGAACAATCCGATGCTTGGAGAGATTTTAAAGGTAAATTCAAAAAATAATGCAAAAAACAAAAAAGAGAAAACCCAACCCCCCCAAACCAGCCACGCACGCTACACTAGAGACGAACCGCAAACACGTGATGCCCGGAGACAGAGGGCGGTCGCCGAAGGACACAGCGCACGGTTCTGCTCGTATGAAATGTGCCCAATGTCAGGCATGGCGTCTCCGCATGGTTGTGTGGCTGCAGACGCCCCCGGGCTTCTCAAAGTGACCGCAAACCCCGAAGGAGACCGTGAAGCCGCCACTCCCAGGGGAGCCTGGACCACAACGGAGCCTCTGGACAGAGTCCGCTTGCAGAGCCTCGGTCTCCAGACAAGGACGGACGGGCTCCTACATCAAAATCTTGCGTGTCCACAAGACACGCAAAAAGCCAGGTCCTCCCCCAAGGAACGACACCTAGGCTGAATACCGGCGTCACGGGCCACGCAAACCCTCCAGTTTCCCGAGTTTTTTTTATATTTTTCTGGGACACCACGAACTGAAGATTGCCGAAAGACCTCGGGCCTCTCCCCGTCCACGTGATGTGCCATCTGCATCTCCTGTCGTCAGGTGCAGGGAGCACAGTCTGACATGACGATTCCGGGAAATCACACCCAGTGCGCCCGGAGCGACAGCCTCCTGGAGCTTGTTCAAATTCCTTGCTGTGTGTTTGCCGCCACGCAGCGGGGTAGCCCCCGTGGGTGCCCGTGGATGCGGTCCATGTTGTCTGTTGGCACGTCTGCGGGAGGTCTGCTCTGGGAACTCCAGGCCACAGGGGCCCTTGGTAGTTTGAGGAGAGTCATTATTAGGCGTCGTCACGTTGAGAGAGGTCATGGGCTTTCCCCACAGACAGACGCTGGGCCACGTTCCCTGAGAGGCACTTGTGTCCACTTTCCAAATGAGCACGATTTGCTTGAAAGGAATTTCACTTTTAGCAGGAGTTGACAGAAATCATGGTTTAGGGAAAGCCACACGTCTTCATCCCCATCTAAGACAAGAGGATGGGGATCCCTGGGTGGCGCAGCGGTTTGGCGCCTGCCTTTGGCCCAGGGCGTGATCCTGGAAACGCGGGATCGAATCCCATGTCGGGCTTCCGGTGCATGGAGCCTGCTTCTCCCTCTGCCTGTGTCTCTGCCTCTCTCTCTCTCTCTGTGACTATCATAAATAAATAATAAAAAAAAATTAAGACAAGAGGATGATGGAAGCAACTATAGTAGGCCAAGCACCAGAAAAAAAAAAATTAAAAAAAATTAAATCATCTTTAAAAATGTCTGATTGGTTGTATTTTCTTAGGATAGATCGCTTAGGAAGTTTAGAAGAAAAGTCACTGGAAAACACAGGGGCATGTGGTCCCTTTGGGTTTAAAAGAAAAACACCATTTTTTTTAAGGTTTTATTTATTTATTCATGAGAGACACAGAGAGAGCGAAAGGGGCAGAGACACAGGCAGAGGGAGAAGCAGGCTCCCTGCGGGGAGCCCGATGCGGGACCTGATCCGGGATTTCCAGGATCGTGCCCTGGGCCGAAGGCAGATGCTCAACCACAGAGCCACCCGGGTGGCCCCAAACACCATGTTTCTAAAGGTTGTGCCAACAAACTAAAACCCCCTCCGTGTGTTTCTTGGACGGTATAAACTTCCCCAGCGGGACAACCTCAGCTGAAGTCAACCTTTTCCAGAGGAAATTCTCATGTTCCTTGTCCATGCTCACCTTGGAGCTCCACGCCTGCACAAAATACAACCTGTCGCGTGCAGGGGGCAGATGCACCAAGTCCCCCGTCCCGTCTGAAGACGAGCGCTCTCTTGACCATTATTGCTGCTGTGAGTCGCATTTCTTGCCATTTTTCTTGCCTTCCCCCCACCCCGCTTCCTGGAGAACCGTCACATCCGTAGGAAAAACCATGTAGAAATCTATGATTGAAGGAAGCAGCGGTAAATGGCAGCAAAAGCAAGGCCTTCACGCGCAGAATGTCCCGGGGGTCCCCGGAGATGCATGTGCAGGGCTGGTGCGGATCCACGCAGGGACGAGCCCGTTAGTGACGACGCACCAGGGGAAAACCATCACCCCCCCCCATGTAGACACGGGTGACGGGTGACGGGCGTGTGCTGAAGGTGCTACACAGGGTCCTCCAGATTCAGGCTGATGCATCTCCCTAGGGCTCCCTGCCCTGAAGTATTGACACCCACCTGGCCCTATGACAGATGACTTGTGGGTGAGCTCAGCCAATGGGAGGCAGTGGCAGGTGACAAGGAGGCGGGGGCAGAGAGAGGAGCCCAGGTAACTCTTCCTCAGGTCTGGGCTGCTCCTGACTGCTCAGGATTTGCAGGTGCCTGAGCCGACCCTCTGGGACCTGCTGCCTCCCTTGCTCCCTGAGACCTGGGTGGGGGGGGGGTGCAACACACTCCCTTGGGGATCCTCATTCGCTGGGCCCACCCCGCTGGAGTGTCCCATGTGCGATGTGTAAGCCGCTGTGACCCACACGGGACAGAAGCAAGTAGCTCCCCAAGCGCCAAGCTGCGCAAACAGATACTACTTTGCCCTTATCAGAACTTGACGTCTCCAGCTGAGCAATATCTTGACAGAGTTTCTCTCTTTTTCTTTAATTTTTTTTCAATTTATTTATTTATGATAGTCACAGAGAGAGAAAGAGAGGCAGAGACACAGGCAGAGGGAGAAGCAGGCTCCATGCACCGGGAGCCTGACGTGGGATTCGATCCCGGGTCTCCAGGATCGCGCCCTGGGCCAAAGGCAGGCGCCAAACCGCTGTGCCACCCAGGGATTGCAGAGCTTCTCTCTTTTTAAAAAAATTTAGGGGTGCCTGGGTGGCTGAGTCAATGAAACGTGCAGCTCTTGGCTCAAGTCATGATCTCAGGGTCCTGGGGTTGGGCTTCAGGCGTCACGACCGCCTCTGCTTCCCTGTCCCTCCGCTCCTCTCCCCTCTAACCCTCTCTCTTCAAACATAAAATAATTTTTTTTTAAAAAGGCCCTTCTTTTAAACATTTTTATTATTAAGTAATTTCTACACTAAGTTCGGGGCTCAAACTCACAACCCAGAGATCAAGAGTCACACGCTCCTCTGACTGAGCCTGCCGGGAGCTCCACATGATTCCCTTTTTACCTTGTGCCGCGATTCCTTAACAAATACAAAGCCACAGTAGGGTTTGCTGCTGCTGCTGTTGTTTTATTTTATTTTATTTTTTATTTTTTATTATTTATTTATGATAGTCACACACACACAGAGAGAGAGAGAGAGAGAGAGGCAGAGACACAGGCAGAGGGAGAAGCAGGCTCCATGCACCGGGAGCCCGACATGGGATCCGATCCCGGGTCTCCAGGATCGCGCCCTGGGCCAAAGGCAGGCGCCAAACCGCTGCGCCACCCAGGGGATCCCTGTTGTTTTAATAATAAGACGTTTGGAGATTCAAATGCCCACAAAAATAGCCAGGTTTGGAGAAGTAGAAACTCAAATTGGTTTTTAAAAATGCATCATCCATTGTCGAATTGTTCCCCTAATACCTGACACCCCCCCCCCCGCCCTGCTCCCAGCTGGACTCTGACCTGAGCAGGTGGGATGGCGAGGCTGGGGGACGTTTCCAGGAAGCCGCCTCCCGCTGGAAGGATGGGGGACCAGGTGTGAAGGAGCAGTTGTCACAATGCACAGCAGGGGGCACCCGTGACTCGTCAGCTCTTCAACCGGCTGGTCAACCAGACGTCTCTTCATAACATTCACCCTGGGAAGAGAACACTAGACTATCTGTTTGTAAGCAGATGTTGCCTTAATGAGACCAGCCTCCGTGGCGGCCTCCCTCCTCCTGGAAGACGTCTACGCTAGGAATTTACAACCCACATTAGCCAACATGACACTGGCGTCCCCCCCCCCCCCCCCGCCCTTCGTCTTCTTGTCCCACAGCTTCCTGTTTGTCTTGGATTTTCGTGAATGGCGATTTCCAGAGAATCTGTTAGGCAGAGTGTGGACTCTGCTCACCGAGCCACGACACGGGAGGTCCAGTGTGGTACCTTGGTTCACTTCCGGGAGTTTCTTGGAAATCTGTCGTCCCCGTCTTGGCCCTACTGGCCGTTGGTGTTGCGAAGCTGAGACTGCCCATCGCAATGGGTGACGTGAGGGCCATTGGGGGTGACGTGTTGATCACTCTGAAACAAAGAGTGGGTTCATAACATGGGTGGCGAGGGCTGGACGGCGGATGTGTCATCGTTGTACACGGGAGGAGGTGGCCCTGTGGGGCATCCCTTGGGGGATACCCAAGCGTCCCCGTCCAAGGATGAGGATGGGGCACCTCAAAGCACCTTGGTGTGCGAGACACGGCGTGCGGGGTACGAGGCACCAGGTGGTGGCTCTGCAGCCAGGGCTCACTAAACCGAGGACCCTGGTGACAGAGCTGGCCTATGGAAGCCATTTGGACCCTGGGGACCGCCATTTGCCTACTCGGGAGAGAACGCAGATCCAGCACGTCAGCCATGCGGAGGAGCATTCGTTACAGGTGTCACGTCCTCGGGCATTCCCGGCACCTTCACGCAGGTGCAATTTAATGTCACCCTGACACGGTCATGTGACAGAGATGATGACAGAAGCACGTGGGGGGGGGGTGACACACGCTGGCCCAGGGATTCCGGGCAGACACGGGCTCTCTGTCCACCCATGCTTGACCGATGAATTCTAATCCTTCGCGTGCGGTTTCCCGCGGAGACAGGACCCGCGTATTCACATTGCATCGCGTGTGTGATTTTTCACGTCTGCGTCAAGATGTGCGGGCGTTTCTCCTTTTGTAGGACGTTCAGGTGATTTCTCCTGGTTTGCTAATATAAACGACCCACCGACGTCCTCACGCACCCGTGTGTTGTTTTGCATTTCTCCATGATTAGTGAAGCGCGTGTTTTATTGCTTTAGTTCCTTGGATGAATATCCAGGTCACAGCCTTGGCTCTGCCCAGGGCCGGTTAATTTGTATCATTAAAGTAACCGCCGCCGCCCTCCGCTTTCAATGCTTTCTGGCTTTTGCTGGTTTACAACGGCTTATGCTTTAGAAATACAAGTTGATATTATTTTTCTGTTAACAAAGGAGGGTAGTCCTCATTCTACGATATTTGGGACGCTGGGAAGCATTCTTGGAAATAATAGCATTTGCACGTTCCCCCCCGCCCCCACCCCAGGACTCTAATGGTGCCCGTTTCCTGGGATTCTTTTATGACCCGTGAGTTGCTCTGCTCATGCTGACCTTTGGGTTTGGGTTTCAGTGTCGCCTCCCACTGTGGCCTGTGTTGGGGACAGAGGGATTTTTCTCACCACGTCCCCTCAGGGATATCTGGGCTGATTTAGGAATTTTTTTTTTAAGATTTTATTTATTTATTCATGAGACACAGAGAGAGAGAGGCAGAGACACAGGCAGAGGGAGAAGCAGGCCCCATGCAGGGAGCCCGACGTGGGACTTGATCCCGGGACTCTAGGATCATGCCCTGGGCTGAAGGCAGGCACCAAACTGGTGAGCCACTCAGGCATCCCTGATTTAGGAATTAAATGAGTACGAGACAGACTAACATGACAGGAAAAGAGAAAATTTTTGATACCTGTACAGAAGCCCAAGAATGAAACGGAGACCGAGAGAAATGACCGAGATGGGTAGTTTTTATAGATTCTGAATGAAGATGCAGCATATTTCTGGGGAACAGACGGGATCAGGGAAACAGGTGTTTGGGAGCTGAAATGAGTAAGGAATTCTGAGCAGAACTGGGGCACAGGTATTTGGGGAAAAAATGAAGGTTTGTTTCTTTTGCTTTGTCGACGTGTACGCCCTCATGTCTGGTGATAACGGTGCCTTTTTGGTTCTGAGCACGGGGAGGGCGTGCTTCAGATGGCAGATCTGTTTCCTGCCTTCACGGGGACGGAGGAGGGTCCGAGTGTCCTTCTTGCACGGGTTGTGTATTAGGCAACTTCCACTGAACATAATCAATATGCCACTATGGATATTCGGGGGGCGACCCCTGAGCCCTCTGCCCTCCGTCTATGCACCTGCCCTGGCCCTCAGGCCACCTGCATCCCCCAACATGTCCATCATTTGTTAGCTGGCCTGGAGGCTGCCTCAGTGGCTTTCCCATGTCCTATACCTCGAAGCAGGTTGCACCAAGAGAAAACACATGTCTCCGCAAACCAGAAGCAAACAGTGCTCCTGGGGGGAGATGCGAGCTCCTCCGTGCAGGAGGACACGTGTGGACGACCTGGTAGGGAAGGTGTTTGGTTTCCCTGGGGCAGACTCCCTGTGTGTCCTGAGGCCGTCTCTGGGCGAGGTTGCATTTCTAGCGGCTGTTCTCAAGGGCGTCCCTGGACTTCAGCGTGTATTCTGAGCATGTGGCGGCCGCGGGTGGAAGGTCCTGGTGTTTGGGGAGCGTGGGCGGCCTTGCTCTTGTGTCCCGATGCCTGGTTCCAGGTGTTGCAGTGATCAGAGGAGAGATGAGCGGGTTTTTGTGGGAACCAAGGGCAGCCTCTGCAGGCCTCCCACTCGGGAGCAATGGGGGCGGGGTCTGTCCGTTCCAGGTCTTTGGGAGGGTGGCGCTATCCTCTCCACGTCCCCATTTGTGACATGTCTTTGCCATTCTTCCAAAGGGATGCTCACGCCCTTGGCTTTTGTTGTGGACGCCCGGGAAGACGCTAATGCCAAGCAGATGGTGGAATCACCTGTGTCGTGCACTGTCCCATTGCTCCCGAAGCACAGTTTTCAACCTGCCGCTGGCGTCCAAGTGGTGGAAGACGCCTTCCTTACGTCCACGGGTGTACATGTCTCGTCCTCTTTTGGTGGCTCCCATTCCTGCACTACCCAGCCTGACTGGGAGGGACGCATGTATTGCTCGCTCCTTGTCCTTGCCGACGTTATATGTAGACACGGTGGCAGGGAGCCCCCCACGGGTGGACGCGTGGTTGGTGCCACAAAACCGAATCACTGGGGGCTTTGTGCATCTGCTGCGCCTCAAACCAAATGTTGAAGACAGAAAAGCAAACATGAAGGGGCATGGCCACGCGCTGGATTTGCAAAAACAGAGACCCAGCTGTGGGATGCCTCTGCCACCTGCTTCCGAGCTTGGACACGGAGGCCCCCGGGTCACGACCCAGGGCGGGCACAAGCGCCCCGCACAACTGGAGCCTGTTTGTGCAGGGGAGCAGCACCTCAGGCCCCGGTGCATGTTCTCCCCCAGGCTTCAGCCACCAAGGGTCTTAGCCATCTGCGAACACCCAATATCTGTTCTCCTTAGCGCCACCAACACCCACCCGCATGCTGTGCATCAACCGTCATGAATTGAGCAATGCGCTGGGTGTAGACATGTGCTGCACGACCCGTGTCTGCTGCCTCTGCTACCCAGGAGCCTAACGGCGCTCATTCAGGGCGTCTATACAGCACTCGATTCCCATCAAACCCTGGAACATGGGTCCCATTTATTTAAAGGAAATTGCCTTGCGTGCTTTGGGCATAAAATGCAATATTCAAAATGTTTCAAAATGCATTTTCTCGTATATAAAAATATCCTTTTTATATATACATATACGTTGCCTCATATTTATATTGTGTATTATATACATATAATAATTATATAATATTTAATATATTTCTCCAATATATTTCCCCGCATCCCTCCTATCTGTGTCTCCATCCTCACGTGGCTCCTCCTCCATGTCTGCGTCTCCTCTTCTGTCTCTGTCATTGGATATAAGGCCTCCCTCATCCAAGATGAAGTCATCTCCAGACACTCCCCCTAATTACATTTGCAGAGACCCTATTTCCTAGTAGGGTCCTATTGCAAGGTTCTGGGTGGATGCGAATTTGCGGGCGAGCGGTTCCAACCCCACTCGAGAAGACCCCCTACACGCATGCAGACTCAGGATCATGCGGGAAGGTGTCCACACCGTGTCCTGCGCTTTGGAAAGCCGAGGTCGTGACCCTCGGCGACCGTGAAAGAGCAAGATGAAGGAGCTGCAGAAGGTCCTGGTGTGTAATGGAGCATCTGCGAGCGGGTGGGCTGTGGAGGCTGCTTGGACCCCTTGGGGAGGTGGTTTGCATGAGAGGTCCCCACGTTGCCTCTACCACAGTGTGGGCGGCTCCTCCTTGCACGGTGCTTCCCTTTCACGAGGGTGCAACTCCCCACGATGGTTTCCGGCAAAGTTAATGAGGCTTCAAGAGCCGGCAAGGCTGCAGCAAGTGCTTCCCTGTCCATCGGGTCCACCACCACCTGTTTCCTCGACCTGGGCCACCTCCTTGCTGTTGCCTTTGTATCCCTTCCTATTATTCCCGGGCCTCAGGGTGCCTCGGCGTGGTGGGCAGGCCTCCACCATGAGGTCTGCACTGACTTCCGCTGACACGTCCACACCTGCGTCCAACCCGTGTTCACTGTGGGTCTGCTGGGCCCTCAAAGACCTCACTCTGCAAATGATTCAGACACAATCTTTTTTGCAAACTCGTGGTGGTGGGATCCCTTTGGAGCCTGTGTAGCCGTTGACCTTCGATGTAGATAGGTCGCGGGCTGAATCGTGTTCTCTGTGCCCTCGACGTTCATAGGTGCAATTCCGCAGGATGTCAGAATGGGGGTGTAGTGGGAGATGCAGTCTTTGAATATGGGATTGAGCTAGAACGAGGGTGGCAGGGTGGGCACTGACCTCATAGGACTGGGGGCCCTATAGGAAGAGGAGATGAAGTCATAGACGTGCACTATGGGAAGAGGAGATGAAGTCATAGACATGTGCTATGGGAAGAGGAGATGAAGTCATAGACGTGCACTATGGGAAGAGGAGATGAAGTCATAGACACGCACAGAGGGACGACCACCTGCTGACATGGGGAGAACACAGCATCTACACCCCAGGAGATGGCCTCAGGGGGAACCAGCCTCAGCCCCCCCTGGATCTCCAGGACTGGGAGGAACCCATCCATGCATGTTGTCTAGGGCACCCTGTCTATGGGATTGTGTGATGGCGGCCACGGCATATTAATATCTTCCTGGATGTGGCCACCAGCTTCTTCGTGGGCACAGCCAGTGTGGCCGGTGCTGTGCACGCACTTTGCAATGGGGGACCTTCCAGGGACGGAATAGGACTCGGCCGTGAACAGGAGCGGGGCTCTGACACCTGGAGGACATGATGCTCACGAGGGACACAGCCCCACGAGGGTCACCGCGTGTCAGCCCCGTGCTATGAAACGTGTGAGGCCGGCACATCTCCAGAAACAATGTGCACGCGGGTTTCTATAGGGCGGGAGGTGGAAGGACGATAACGGGCCTTTGTGGAGCGTGAGGGCTTCTTTATCAGGCCACAAAAATGTCCCAAAATTCTCACGGTAGCGTCAAAACCTGCCAATTTGGACAAATTAAATAGGATGGAGTCAGATGGCTTAATCGTGCTGTTTTGTTTCTTTGTTTTTTGTTTTTTTTTAAGGAAAAGTGAAACAGCTGCTCACACAGGCCGGCCGATGGCTGGCATCTAGAAACTTGGATTCAGGGACTCTG